TTTATTATTTATTTGTGAAGAACATAGCATACACATATAAGAATGAATATTTGCAATAATTAATAAATTATTTATTGATGAATTAATCATAATAACCAGGGATTAATAATATTAATTTTTGATCATAATAACCAGGGATTAATAATATTAATTTTTGCCCATTAATAGCTTAAACAGGGAAGGGAGAGTAGTATATTTAATGGGAGTAAAAAATGTGCAAATAAGAAAAAAAATTAAATCAAATGATTTATTAGAATTTGCAGGTTGTTTTAAATATAGCTTATATTAGGAGTATATGGATAAATGGCATCTCTAAAAAAATATACTAATTTTATTTTATTCATTATCTTTAATTAGTATTTATCATTACTTGTTTGTGATATTTATGTATTTTTTAATTAGTTTTATTTTCTAATATGACTTATTAATTCTTGCATTTGTAATATCATATATAGTATATAAATATAAATATCATTTAAATCTTTTTTCATATTTTTTTTATATTTATATATATAAAAAATATGAAAATAATGTACAACATTATATTATTTAATTGTTAATTACATAGCAATTTTCTTTAATGCATTTTTAATTAAATTCCGTAAATAAATACTGTAATGTAATTTTATTTATATCATAAATAAATAAAAGTAACTAATAAAGTTAAATTCTACCTTATTATAATTTTTTAAAATTATCTAATATTATATATCAATTGTAGCATAAATATTTCCTTTAATAAGAACTTGCTAAAATAATTAAATATAAAATATAATACACAGTACAGGGAATTCATTTGATAAAATATTTTTTGCTTAGTTACATTATAATTGCTGAGGTTCAAAATTTAGAATACTAAGAAATGATTTTTCCACTCCATTTTTGATAAATATTACTAGACATTTATTTCTATAAAAATTGGATGAATAATTTAATTTGTCCTATTTAATATGAATATAGAATATTTGGTGAGGATAATGCTGAAGATGAGATACAGAATGATAGTCAACATGTATTGGAAGAGGAGGAAATAGGTGTTGATGCCAATGATATTAATGAGATCTTAGAAGAAGGTTTAAATTATTTTATAATACATGTTAATCTAATCAATATTCTATAGGATCTTCAACTAACTCCACAATGTTACCCAGCCATCATAGATGCTCCTGTCATAATTTAAATTTGATAGCAACAGTAGATGCTGAAGGAGCTTTAAATGATGAAGATTTTAAAAGGGTGTCAAGATCGATATTTTATAAATGTCAAACTTTATGGAATAAGCAGAACAAATCTCCTAAAAGTTCTGACATGTTTAAAAAAAATTAGGGAGGTATTTATTAACCCCTAATCGTACAAGATGGAATTCTGTATACCAAGCAATAAAACTAATCGCTTTTTTTCTGGAGGAAAGAAGATTAGAGATTAATTATCTCTGTGATCTTGTTGAAATTGAATATATTAACGATGAAGAGCATACTTTTATAAAAGAGTATACAGAAGTAATTCTAATTAATAATGATTCATTTCCATATCATTTTAATTTTTTAGGTTATGCAATATGTTGCTGTTTCCCTTGAAATTTTGGAAGGTGAGGATAATATGGAGATGGGGTATTATGTTCCCACTTTAAGTATCCTAAATACCAAATTAAAGAGATTGAATAATCTAATCTTATGCCAGCCCCTAGTAGACTCTCTGTTAAAAGGCATTGAGAGAAGGTAAATAAAATTTATATTGTTTTGTTTTGACTGAAGATTTATTCTAAATTAATGTTTAAAGCTAAAAAAATTATAAAATTTTATGATTAAGATACATTTAAAATACTCTATTTTTGTAACTTTTAGATTTCCAAACTTATATAATGATGACAATGTCTTAGCGGCAATGGTTCATCCAAAGTTTAAACTAAACTGGCCATATATAAATTCCGATGATGCCAAACATCAACGCGATAGGCTAATGGCGAAGCTGAATAATCTTACTCCAACAAACATAGATTGCCGAGTATCTACCACGAAGACATCCTCAAATAATTTTTTTGAAATTAAAGATGATTTAATAGAAAATCCAATTGATCTTTTTTTTCAATCAAAAAATATTGAAATGAATATTTTTGATAATTTTTCATATATTAAAAATTTATATATAAAATTAAATACCCCCTTGCCCTCAAGTGCTAGTGTCGAGAGATTATTTAGTAAAGCAAAGCTTATACTTACTGATCGTCGCTCTAGACTTGGGGATGATAATATTGAAATGATATTATTATTAAAATGCAACAAATTAAAATAAATATTTATTTATATTGCTTATTTTTTATAATCTAAACTAACTATATTTTTATATTTATAAATGTTGATTTTTATTTTATTATACATTTACATTATAAGCAAAAAAAAATAAAAAAAATTTGTTTCATTTGTTCCTAAATTTTTTTTTATAAAAAGTAGCTTAAAAGTAGCTAAAGCTACTTTTGAAAAAAAGTAGCTAATAGCGCGCTACTTTTTTTGACAAATAGCGAAAGCGGTAGCGCGCTACTTTTAAAAATAGCGTTTAACAACTCTGGTTTGTTGGTATCCTTGAGAAAAAAAAATCGGCATAATTATTATGAAAGATATGGCCTCCATAGTAATTCACGTTCGCTCATTTTGGGCAGGTCCATGACCAACGTGCTAGATGAGATAAGATAAGATAAGAATATGTTATAATGATCCTTCCCCATGCTCCCCCCCTAAAACTTTCTCAATAAGTAATTATAAGGAATAACTTTTTTCTTTTCTTTTTAAATTTTAGAAAATGTTTTTGTTTAATAAAATATTTTTTTTTTTATGAGCCGAAGTTCTTTTTCTTTTGCATAACTTTTTTCTTTCAAGGCACCGATGATCTTTCTTTTTAGGTGTGATTTATGTTTTTCTGTTTTTTTCCTGTCATGTAATATATATGTTTTTCTCTTGTCTTATTATTTTCTTTTCGTTGAAAAATTTATTTTTTTCTTTTTGTCTCATTATATTCCTCCCTTGTTTTTGTGTATGAAACATATTTTTACTTCTGTATTTCACATTATGTTCCTTCATTTCCGTTTTTTGGAGGAATTTTTCTCACTTGGTTCATAATCTAATTGTTGATGTGTATATTAATATTTAATTGTTAGTCTATTTTATTTTTTTTCTGAAGGAGAACCTGCCTGAAGTTTTTTTTTTCCTATCTTAAAACGCATTATGAAAAAATAATAAAGGAATAATTAAAAAAAATATATATAGTTTATAATTTTCCAAAAAAAAGGGATATAAGGAGAGAAGAGGAAAGAAATTAGGAACGAAAACCTTTCATCTCTTTCTGCTAAATTATTATATGAACTTACTCAAATACTCATTTAATCTATTATCATATACTATACGCATTTACCATACATATATATATATTGAATTTTTTTTTAAACAATTCTTACTTAATTCTTTATCTATCTTCGTGTATTTGCTATTCTTACAAGGCGGACTCTCTGTAAGATATAGGTAAAAGATTAAATAAATTTCATAATTAACCTTACTTTAAGCTGGTAACTTATACGCTAGGGAGTATAACACTCAACTATAATTAGATAGCAACATAGTTAGAACCAAACACTGTTTTTCACCGAGGTGGGGAACCATAGGAGAGGGGTTACAGGTTTGGTGCCTAAACTCCTACCTTGGCTATAACTCCATCCCAAACTTCTTAATAGGGATAAAACTTTTAAATTTCCAGTTGTTTATACTAGATAGTCTCTCACATTTTCTTGAATTTATGTTTTTAAGATAGGCATTTTTTAAATTTAAAGCGAATAAATTTGTTTTTTTTTCTTTTTTTTTTGTTTTAGAAATAAAATAATTGAAATAAATTATAGAAATAAAATAATTAATTTTGCTTATTAACCTTGAAAACTAGCAAAGTCCCAAACCCGTACCACCTGTTAGTTGATGGATGGTTTTTTTTTATATATATCTTGTATTCTAATAAAAATTAAGTTTATTAATATATTTCTTCAAAAGTCCGGTTAAGAATTTTTTTCCTTTTCCCGTCATACTATTTAAATATAACATACAACGAGTAAATCAATATCTCCACTCTAATGCTTATATTTTCTAAATACCTTATAATATAAGATAATAACCTGATTAGTTGGCCCTGCCCTCCCCTTTTATAATATTTGATACTAAGGATATCATCCAAAATATATTTATGAGTAGCACAAAAAATGAAAGATAGATAGTTAGGCATCCAGCGTCTACATGAGCGGGAGGGGTAGTAACAGTTTGCATCCTATTTTTGTTTGAGTAGGGTAGGGGGTAGGCTGCTTTAATGGGGGTAGGATAAATTTTGAAATGAAATAGGACAACATTTATTGCTGTAAAAATTAATAATTTTATTATAGAACTATTATAATACAATTCATCGACCAAATCTGTATATTGCAAACAATCATACACATTGTTTTCTAAATAAAACTTTCTTGTTTAGATATTTCAGCAAGCTCATAATGTTATAATAATGAATTCATTGTAAATAATGGAGATTTAATTGAATTATCTAAAAAATAACCTATATATTTACAAAATATCGATAGTTGGTAGTAGAGATAGATTAATTTAAGTTATCCTTTATAAATTCTCTGAAAAGAGTATCATTATAATTAAATAGATGGAAATAAGAATGGTGAAACAGCGCCGCCGAAGGCTGCAATTTCTTTTAGGGGGGTAGGTAAAGGTTTTTGAAGGGGGTTTGCATCCAGTGAAAATTCTGTCATGTAGACGCTGTAGGTACCTTATCTCCGATAAGGAATTACTCGAAATATATCTTGTAGGTAGCACACAAATAAGTATAATGGCACTTTTAAAAGATATTTACATCAGAATGACATAATTGAAATGAATATATATACATATGTTACTTATTCCCTTTTTTCCCTTCTCTCCCTTACAGAAACGGCACTAATCATAATTAAATTTTAATAAAATTTTTCAATGAAGGACCACAATATTAAAATAATCTCTTTAAATATAAGATCCCTGAATGATAAACTAACTATACTTAGGAAAGTCATGAAAGACCAACATTACGATATCCTCCTTTTACAGGAGACCCACCTTAAAGTAACTGAGGTAAGGAACCTCTTAGATTACACCTTATATTGCAGCTCAAATGCTGAACACGTATGGGCTGGGGTGGCGATTATGATACATAATAAATCAATAAGATTCGTATGCTTCAACCCAATCTCCAGCCGAATATGCTGCCTTACCCTAAACTTAGGATACAAAAGGGTTCATTTGTTTAATATATACGCACCTCACAATGATAGTGGTTTCTATATGGAATTGGAGAATGTCTTAAAGGAACTACCGCATCGGGATGGCATCATTCTAGCAGGTAATTTCAATGCTTCGGTAGGTAAATCTAAGAACTCTTCCTGCCTTAGAAACGCCACATTAATACAAAGTACGAACCCCAACGGTAAAAGGTTAATAGAAATCTGTGAGCTTTTCAACATGAAAATTGGAAATACTTTCTTCAATCATCCAACTCATCACATCATGACTTACAAGAGTCCTTCCTTTGGCATTACCTCACAGATAGATTTCTTTGTAATTTCCACTAAGATCTTCAAGTGGGTGAGAGACATCGGAGTAATCAGTAAACTAAACCTCACACTTTTTACGGACCATTATCCACTGAGTTGTGAACTCAAAATTAACAACAGTATCTTCCCAAACCACACTAGACAGAACAGTCTCACCACTGTAAAATACATAGTTAGAAAAGACTTGGCACAACTAAATGACTTAGAGGTGAAAGAAAGTTCGTCTCTAATTAAACATCATGGAGGAATACAGTAAATGGCATGATAAACCCAAATCTGACCTAGAAGGACATTAAGCTGAATTTATTAGGTAGTATAACATCATGCTTAAAACCACGCACCAAGCGCAGAGAGTGGCTCACCCCTTCAACAATACAAATAATTAAGAATCTTACAACAAATATATCCCATCACCAATTCGCAAGACATCATAGGAGGTACATTACTCACCGCATAAGGGCTGACAAAAGACTGTTTATTGCTAACTTATCGAATTCTATCCAATTCAATTTTGATAATAATAATATTTATAAGGCCTTCCAATCTCTTAAACTACTCACCACCTTTAAAACCAATCCTTTACCAAGACTACAATTAAATAACAACAAGATTATAACTGACCCTAAGGAACAATTAGACTTATGGATAGACCACTACATGAACCTCTGCAGAACGAGATGGCCTATACCTAGATGTGACTACCCCTTCCAATCACCCAGTCAGAATCTGAACAAGTCCGATATAGTCGGTGCCATCAAAGGTCTAAAAATGCATAAAGCTGCTGGAGCTGATGGGATCTTTGCAGAACTCTGGAAGATAGAGGTAGACCTAAGTGTCAGCTTACTACTTCCTCTCTTTAGGGAGATTTGGAATACGGGTAGGTTTCCTGACGAATGGATGCCATCAATTATACTAAACTTCCCTAAAAATAAGTCCCCAAACTGCCTTAAGGATTACAGAGGTATTGCATTGATTCCAGTCACACTAAAAATGTTCACATACATCATATAGGTCAGGATTAAACCAATCATTAACAGTTTCTTTCTAATGCAGGAAGGGCAGAAATACTACGGAGTTGACTATGGCACTTAAGGTCATTCTGGAAAAGGCCAGAATGCATAAATCCCCCATCTTTGCCCTAATGATTTATTTAAGTCAAGCCTTTGACTCCATAATTCAGAATAAGATATGGCTCTTGCTGGAAAACATTGGAATAGATAAACATCTGATAGCGCTAATTAAGATAATTTACGACAATCATAGCGTAGTTCCTCAACATCTAAATATGAAATCACAACCTTTTAAAGCAAATAGGGGCCTCAAACAAGGATGCATCCTTTCACCGATTATTTTTAATGTAATAATGAATGATATCCTAAATAAATCCCTTAAACAGGAATATGCACTCAACACATATTACAGCAATCAACAGCACCACAATGATATGCATAACTCTCTAAACTTTCTATGTTATGCCGACGACGTATGTATTCTAGCCAACTCAGAATACAAATTGAGAAATATTTAATCATTATTTGTCAATAACTGTGATGTATATGGTTTAAGAGTTAACTACACAAAAACCAAGCTGATCACCTCAAATACCGATAAAAGTAACTTAAACCCCTTTAACTTTGAGGGTAATACGATAGAATTAGTGTCAGATTTTAAATACCTATGAACCAGGATAACATCATTAGGCCTCACTCTTTTAGATACGAAATCGAGAACGAATAATACTAGACTCCGCTATCATCAACTGTCGAAATTATGGTCATCCAACCAAATATCAACTAATTTAAAAATAAGACTCTTCAAGTCCCTAATTGTACCCATTTTTACATATGGCCTGGAAACGAGGCAGGACTCAAAAAGTAACATAAACACAATTCAGACATTTATAAACAAATGCCTTAGAAGAATCACCAAAACGTATTACCCATACAACACATCAAATACAACGCTCTGGAATAGATGCGACATCCTACCAATCAATCGGCTCATACCCTTGAGGAGACTAGAATTATTAGGCCATAGCTTAAGACACTCGCAGGAAAATATGATATTCTCGGCCTTGAAATGGTGCCCTGACGGTAGGAAGAAAACTCCTAAATACTATTGGTTGGCTAAATGTTTGAAGGATATGGACCTGATTAACCTCTCGTTTGCAGATTTCATGGCACTCAGCAAAAACAAGAAACACCTAAAAGAACATTTACAATACATGTTAAAATATGGCCTAAATTAATATTGAAACCGTTCTTCTCCTTTACTTTCTTGCAATAAATAGAATAAAGTATGTTTGATAATGATAATAACCTGAACAACAACAACATAACTTAACTTCCTTCATTAACCCACGACCTTCCTTTCTGGACACACGATATCGGCGACGATAACGATAACAATTACGAAACTATTAGTTGTATAATGGACAATGAGAAGATAAACTGGCTATAATAATAACGCAATACTCGGACGAACCCAAATATCATTGGCATAGCACATACAAGATCTACAGGACATACGGTATTTGGCACACCGAACAACAAACAAGGAAGAGACTCTTCATGTAAACTTAACATAAACTCTCAATACTTAACAAGATATAAGGGTTATTATTTTTTTGTTGCCTCATTAAATACCACTTAAGGATGCAGGTACATTTTTTATATGACATTATTTTTTATTTTTTCCTTAACACTATTCTGCCGGAAACGGAACTAATACATCACCATTATTGTACTTCTTTCTTCTTCACTTTGCTAACTGGCTACTTAGTGGTACCGTCCACTATAATAAAACGGGTAGACATCATGTATGGGATCTATAAGTGAAAATACATGATTCACGCTTCAACTCCTGGTGGGTGATGAAATTAGTATTTACTCGTATTATTAATTATCTAGTATTTGCTTATACTAACTTAGTAGCATTTAATATAGCATACGCCTTTTTTAAAATTTTTAAATAATATACATTAGAGATCTGCAAAGTTAGACCAGTCCCGAACCCGGCCCATCCCGAGTCCGACCCGGCCGGAATGGGCTTCGGGCTAAATTTATCAATATATTTAATTTTTTATGTAAAATAAAATTTTTGGATTTTATTTATTGAAACTAAAAGACATATAACATATGTCTTTTATTTTGAGTAATTATAAAAATTAATTTCTATATTTAAATAAATTTATGCCGAGCAGGGCCGGTAAATTTTTATAAAAAAAATTTAGGGTTAGGGCCAGCGGCAAAACTTTTTTAAAAAAAATTTTGGGCCGGGCCGGGATTGAAAAATTAGGCCCTATGCAGATCACTAATATACATCTTTTAATATAAAATTAAAGAATTGTGAAATATTTCACCAAAAAATTTTCCCCACAAATATTCACAGTATCGCATATTTATTATTTTTTAATGAAAAAAAAAGGTTAATACCAAATCCCCGAGTTTCAATGACTTTTTATTATACAATAAATTTTCTTGATTCAATAAAAAAGTTGCTGCAAAATAATATAATTTGAAGATCATTTGACGGAGTAAGAAATATGCCAATTGAATTTGTTGGCTTGCAAAGCTCAAAATTAAGAAAGTGGAACCAAATTGTATCTACATTTGATGTTAATTCTTTTTATACATGTGAGACACCCAGGTGAACTACTTGTACCAATATGGAATTGATATTTATATTGCTGAGGCTAGTGGGAGAGACTGAATATCTATGGAATTTTATCAAATTAATAATCAAAATATCATCGGTCAAATAAGAAAGGTTAGAAAAAAAAGGTACTAAATCAGACTAATATCCTCGTTAGAACTAAAATGATACTAAATCAGACTAATATCCTCGATTATATATATTTTTCTATAATATTCGTCAAATCAGAAAAGTTAGAACTAAAATGATACTAAATCTTTATTAAATAATAAGTTAAAAATATAATCAACTAAATTAAAATAATCAAAAATTAAAATTAAAAATTATAATTAAGTTCGTAAAATCATTATCTCTCTCTATACAAATATCCTCGAATATATATACTTTTCTATAATATTCATTTACATAATGTTTTACAAACAAACTGAAAAAATCTTGAACTTTCTTTAATTTGAATAATCATTCTTTTTTATTCATCTTTCTTTAAATCATTTGCATTCGAAATTTAATTCATTTTTCTTGAGTAGATTTGAATATCTTTCGGCTTCGTAATTTGGTTTAACAATTACAACACTACTTAATCCTGATAATAGGTTAAAAAGTCTTAAAAGGCTTCACTTCATAAATATTAGAAAAACGAGATGGTTGGGAATATGGGAAGTATATTTTTTAAGGATTGTCTTTGGAATGAAAAACAATTCTGGAATCGGGTTTTAAAATAAAATATGTCAATTTAGAGAAAATTATTAACGGCCAGTGGCGTAGCTAGGAATTTTCCTTAGAGGGGGTCCATACATATAAGAGCTGGTTTATCATACAAATCATAACCATATCTTCGATAATATATAATAAATATATTTTTTAAATGCATCAATAATATGTTATTATAATTTAGTAGATTATTCTCAATGACTTTATAATAATACTATCCAGAATAATTTCAATAGTAATATAATATCCTTCCACAAACATCAAAACCAGAAAGATATAATTCATATAAAATCACTTTTAAGTCTTTTGAACGTATAATCTCAAAAAAATATTGCTCTGGGAGGGGTCCAAACCCGAAAACCACCCCCGTAGCTACGCCACTGCATCTATTAGCTAAATCTCGAGGCTTAGGCAATATTTTTCTGGCTAAAATATTGAGTTAGCCGTTTTTAAAAATTGGCTCAAAACGAGCCGTTTAACAACACTAATTCAGAGCTCATTTTGTAGGTTCAGGTGACAAAATTTTTGAAAGTTGTCTTTTAGGGTTAAGAAAATAACGGTTAAAACTGGTTTAAAGGTTCGGTTTGGATCCCTGAAAAAAAAATTTACTTCTTGAATAATTTTTGAATGTTTCAAAATTTAAAAAAAAAAAAAACTTTTTCAAAGCGGTTTCTAGTTATATATATATCTGAAAAAATAATATATAAATTATAGACAAGATGATTTTTAGGATGCTTCCAATATAGAGGAATTTGTCGATATTATTTTATTTTTAAGTAAATACAAACACTACAATGCATGAGCTTACAATTTAAACCCACCAACCACTGCATCTCAAATTCATTTTTTTTTAGGTTTTGCTCGTTGATTTACATTGAAAATTATCAAATACTCACATTGAATAACATTTTTAAAAATAAAAGAAATTTTGCATTCTTCTAACAGAGAAGAGAATTTTTTTTTAGTCCGTAGTTTACTGGATATAAAAATAATTCCTTAAAAATATTTTTTTGATTTATTATACATATTAAAAATAAAAGTAATTTTTAGAAAGAAAACTTATTTGAGATTGAGGTATCATATTTTTTTTAAATTCCATTTGTATATAATAAATATCATATATATAGAAAGTACAAACTCATCTAGTTAATTTTAAGATTTTGCGATTGAGAGATCATAAAAGTCTTCAAATTAAATATATATTTTTTTTAATTACTTTATTTAACCTGTTAGTAATAAATACAAAAAAATTTTTTTTTAAATGTTACGTTAGTAGGTAAATGTTTATTTATATGTTAAATTGAAGTTAATTAGATAAAATCTTCTTTTGGCGGATTCACAATTTTTATCGTAAAATTTCCTTTTTTGCCCTTGAATTTTTTTTTGTGCACATGCGAATATTATAATAATATTTACAAATATCCTAAAATTCTAGAAGTATAGCGTATTAGTTGAGAAAGATTTTCTGTATTATTTACAATTGATTTGGCAAAAATAAACATTCATTTAAATAGACCGGTAAATAATTTAATTGATTATTTAGTTTAAAAGTAAAAAATTTATTTTCTGCATTATCAAAAATAAGTTAAATAAATGTTATTTGAATTTATCTTCACAGTTTTGGAAAGCCATTTTTACAGTGTTAA